TTATGGAAACTATTTTCTCATATTTTACTTCATCTTATCTGAACTTCAGATATAACAGGCTGAGTGATTTTGAAAGACCTGTTTAAATTTTATTTATGATCTGTGTGAAGAAATGAAAATATGCCATTTGCAATAAAATTTTCATAAGATAGTTCATTTGCATTTAATATTAATGGTTCAAAGAATGCCAAGCAAAATGGTTGGCACTCATGCATATTCACCTCATCAAATCTGGACCTCTTTGAATAAAGCTTGGATACCCCTGAACTAAATTATAATGTTCTTGCTCACTTTTGTTGTTTATAACATTGCTTGGAAAGAAAGTGCATAGAGTGCAGTTATCTTACCACACCACAAAGGTTCCATCAGTGACCATGGCTTCTGCAGCAGTGTTTGGCCAAACAAAACATTCCTCAGGTCCAGTAACCCCCATATTCCCCAGGTCTTGCGCCTTGCAATTTTTTCCTCTTCAAAAATCAGATCCCACTTGAAAGGGAACAAGATTTTAAGATGTCAAGGAAATCCAAGAGAATGTGATGAGGCAGCTGCTCAATATCTTACAAAAGGAGTTCCAGAAATGCTTCCATCAACATTGGATAAAGTGAGTGGCTTCAGAAGGGAGACTACTTTGAAGGAGATTAAATGCCGAATTGATATATGTTGTAGTTTTCTTTTTGTAGCACCAGTGCCTTGATAACTTTTGATCAAACCTTGCATATTGTTTGTAATAGTGAACACATTGACTCAAGTGATGAAAAGGAAATTTATAACCAAAATAGTGAGCATTCAAGTAAATGGATTTTCTTTTCAGCTGTTTGACTAAATATTTGATTGCATTTAGTTATTACAGATTTAAAAATGTCTAGCTTATAAGCTTTTTTTTTTAAATTGATCAATGAAGTAAATAGTGCAATATTGAAAACAAATTAATAAAGCTAAAGGCAGGCTATAGTAACAAATGACAGCTTATATAGCAGAATTTTTCTAATTCAAGATTGATGCAATTTGTGAAGAAGAGTATTTGCATTCAGAATGATTTACTGCTCACAAAGTATGTCTTAAATTTTAAAAGGCCACCAGCTTATTAGTTTTACTAACATGAGATAGTTGCAAATCAATAGAGAAAAGTGAGCAAACATTAATAAATAGTGACAATATTAAAGGATAACACTTGTGTTTATGGAGATTGAGCAAATCTACTATTATGAAATGAATGCTTAAGGAGATAATACAGGAACTGGTTCATTAAACTTAATTTTGGGTGATATTTTGACAACTGGCAAAAAAAAAAAAAAAAAAAAAAAAACAAAACAAAAAACCCCAAAAAACAAAAACAAACTTGCATATTGCATTATTACTGACAATATTACTCCCCCCCTTTCCTTTTCACAACAAATTTCAGGACTTGTTTTTTTTTTATTGAAAACATTTCTAACAATGATTAAAAAAATCCAGGTTAAAACTGATATACACAAATTTCATGGTCTTGTTTTTTTTGTTTTCATTAAGTTGAATGAGGCATATAAAAATATGTTTTCGTAAGTATCAAAAATAAGCACTGTCAGTCAAAAAAAAATTAATAAAAAATAAACATGAATGAAATTGCCCAAACTCAATAACAAAACAAAGAACTCTTACATAACAATTTATTTACCACTTGTTGTGAGATAAAGTTTAACATGAGTTCTTTGTCAGCCTGGTCTGCAGATGGTTTGGGCCAGCATTTGATTGTGTGTGTGTGTGTGTGTGTGTGTGTGTGTGTCTCCAATATCAATGCTTCATCAATAGATAAACAGATTTGATTCATATACAATAAAAACCTGAAGGACAGCCAGGGCTTCTTTTCAGAATACTGAGTCAATAATAACAGTCAATAACTTATTTCTCTTTTTTCCCTAAAAAAGAGGATATCCAAATAGAAATGCAATTGCTACTTTAAAAAAAAAGAAAAAAAAAAAAAGTGGGTTTTCTGGATGATTTGGGTATTTTGTGGATGTTATATTTATAACTAATATCGTTCTTTTAATATGTAGCAAACTTTTCAATTGACAAACAATTTAACTAAATATTTTAACCTCAAATAACAAAAAGTAAAACTGTTTAATTGTAAGATTTTGATCAGTTTTTTTATACAGAATTTTTTTTTATACATTACTGGTTTTTGCGCATGAAAGTTGAATGACATTATTTCAGGCTTTGTGTTATAAATAGAAAGATAGCATATTTGACAATGGTTATCTTTGGAAATAATGTTAATCCTGTTTCTATTGATAAAATGGTATAGGTAAAAACAACTGTAGACAAATTTGGTAAATAATTCCTTGACTCATTAGCACCTTATTTTACCAGGGAAAAATTATTTAACTAATTTTCACTCAGATTATTATTATCATCAGCAGCAGTTTTTTCTATTTAACATCAACATGATCTTGTCTGCAATAACTACATTCACATCCTAGGAAACATCCTAACATTTATTGATTTTCTACATTTTTTTTTTCAATGTAAAAATTCTTTTTAATTATTCTTTCAATTATTCTATGTTAAAATTAAACACTAATGTTTGCATTTTTATAAAGAATTGATCATGAATTGTGTTGTCATTTTAAGCATGTCTATGAGAATGGATTTAAATTTAACTAAAGTTTTAGAAATCCAAATTCAGAAATAACAATTTACACTGCAGAAAGTTTAAATTGTAGAAATAAGGTGATAAATAAATAAAAATGCAATAATTTAAGATCACAGAACAAATCTCCATACTTTAATGAGTTGTCTCTTTGAGCAAGAAGATTTTAAAATAAAAAAGAAGCTAAAATATCATACATTTACAAGCATACAAAAGCAAATAGTGTTTTCTAAGTTGAAAGTAAGTTTCTGTTCACCTATTGTGATACTTGATTATAAGATTTTCATCAAAAGGCTTATGATTAGCAATGAATCTCAGAAGAAAAAAAAAACAAAATGTAACAAACCCATATTTGTCTTGACAAAAATGTTTTGAACAAATATATGATTTTACAGTTTAATAAATTAAAAATGAGAAGATTGAATTGAATGAGTCTAAGCTGCTTGTCATGTTCAGCAGTAATATTAATGAACCACACAGTGGTTATTTTACATATAAGCACATGCCCAAACTTCACAAAGACCAGTACAACAGCTTATATAATAACTGTTAAAGGCTTGTGAATTTTGATTTTGATATTTCTAAATACTTTTGTTTTCCTCTTTCTTATCTTATTTTGGTATCCAGTCAACTTTGTGCTAACATGTTTGAGCAAAGAGGGAGAAAAAAAAAAAAAAGGTTAACAGAAAATGAAAGAATTTTCAATTCACATCCTTTCAGTCATACTATGGATGTAAAGTGCTTAGAAAATTAAAATGTTTAATTTAAAATTTAATAAAATTAATGAAACCCTGGTTTAGTTTCATTTTTTCTTTTCCACATTTATAAAATTGGAAAATCAGTGAATGTTTTTTTTAAACCTAATCTTAACTTTTTTGATTATCAAATCCTTTTCTTTTGCAATAAAGATAATCTCATAATTGCAAACAACCAATTTAACATCTTCAAACAGGCAATATTGTTTAAATATATTCTAGTTACCTCTTGATTTCAGGTCTATGCAGTGAAATTTAATACAAGACTAGGCCAGTGTACATTTTCAGGATTGTGTTCAGGTTGAACAGTTCTTGATGTTAAAATATCAGAATTAGCATAAATTACTCGTTTGTAATTTTAAGAAATTGGTTACTACAATATTAGGCATTGTAACTGACATATTTGATTTTAATTTAAAGCAAATAAATTTTTTTAAACTAATCTAACCGCATATTTTAAGTCATGATGAAGTTTAATTGAAATTATTTACATTTATCCAGATTGCTTATTATTATTATTGTTGCAAATAACTGTTTAACCCTTGTTTGGATTTATATACATGAGCATATGAAAAAAAAATTGATTTACTGACAGTATTTTAGTTGTTTATGACCGTTTAAAACATTTTTGGAGTATAACTGAATATATTTACATCTTTGTGTGTGTGTGTGTGTGTGAGAGAGAGAGAGAAGAAAAGTTTGTGAGCAACATCAAGAAGAACAAGAAACAAGCTTCATAAATTTCATTTAACTATTTATGATCATGGAAAATAAAAAAAATGACAACGAGAGATGATGATGATGGCAGCTTGATGGAATGAGAGAATTGAATGAAAATTATGTGAGAATGCTGCCTCCCCAGTCCCTGCCTTCTGGCCAACCCCAACAAACCCACCCACTTAAAATAGGTGTGTGTGTGTGTGTGTGTGTGTGTGTGTGTGTGCGTGCGTGCGTGTGTGTGCGCATAAGTGAGGTATAGCTCATCATAGGTGTCCTGGCCATTGTCCCTTTCCTCTGCCCATAAACACAGCATTTCCAATGTTGAGGCATTACTGATTGTCAAGAAGAAAATAAATGCCAGTAAACAGCGCAGACTCAATACACAAATGCATGGATTTTAGAAGCATCTGAGATCAATGAGAGAGAGTGGGGTGGGTGGGAGTTAGAGAGAGAGAGAGAGAGAGAGAGAGAGAGAGAGAAATAAAAGACAATTAAAAAAATTTTTTTTGAAGTGATTTCATTTTATCGTTGACAAAAAAAAAAATAAAAAATAAAAATTAAAAAAAATAAAAATAATAAAAAACAATATGTACAAATTTCAAGTTTTCCCCCATGTTCACTGTCAGTTGCGTCCATAGGACGGAGTGAGGAGACAGAATTGTGCGTGGGGCTGGCTACCAAGGGGAGAGGGATAAAGCAAACCAGGTGATAAATTAAAATACCTCTCCCTTATGAGTAGCTGTTTTTTTTTTTTTTTTTTTGAGCACAGCAAAGCTTGAAGTTAAACTTTGAGAGCAGCACCAGTTCCATGGTCGAGCGGCTGTTGCTGAGGACGCGTTTTTATAATTTATTAATCATCAATGTCAATTTATGTGGCTAGCATAGAGCTCCTCCCCTCAATCATCTGGCGTTGGGGACTGAGCCTTCTTATAGTTGGCCCCAAATTTTGACATGTATTTCTTTATATAATCCTTGGCTTTGGCTTTCACATTTTCATTAACCTCCAGATCCTCTGGATGTTTACAATGCTTCAGCTCTTTTGCCATTACATGATGGGTCAACTGAAATTGGAAAGACAGGTTTTAATAGAAAATTACAAACGCTCATTTCTTTGGCATAAAAGAAAATATTCTTAATAAAAATGAACGTTTTTTGGCTAGATCTTTTCAATGGAATGTTTAAGATTTGGCAAAAGTCAATTGTGTTGAGCATTTTCTTTTAAACATATTTTCAGATAATTCTCTGTCCAATAATATTTGTTATATCTGCAGCTGTATTTCATACCCTAAATGTAGCAGCTATATTCTATTGCATATAATATTGAATATACAGATAAACCTTTCAAACAAATATTTAAGAAATGTTTATTAGTTAATCTTTAGCTAACTTGAAATCATTACATTAATCATAGAATGAGTTAATAAGGCATTATAATATAAGGATTAAAAGTATAAAGTGTTATAATATAAAGATTATATAAAAATCTAAAATGAATGGACTGAAAAAATAAAAGAAGAAGGGATCTTCTTGTACATACTTTTCTTGCTAAATGTTTGAAGTCATCTGTACTCGAAATACGTCCAAGTCTGCAATCTGGTTTTCGGTATGGATTTAAACAGGATACAATCCACTGAGACATCTGCAATAAAAACATTATCTGGAAATGTGCAATATAAAGTAAATGAATTATCAATGGTAAACTAGTAAGATTGGTCAGGTCAGATGTCATAAGCTAAGGAGAAGTAGTAGCTCATGGTTGGGTGAACTTAGTAATTAACCCGGTGTTAGAGATATCACCCCCACTCCATAGTACCATATCAATGGGTTTGACAAATAGCCTGCAGTTACCATATATACTTGAGCATAGTGTGAGTTTTTACAATCAGTTTTTAATACAACAGGCACTACACAGGCAATCTTCTGAAGAGGTTAAAAAATTCATGCATTTTTGGTGACCATAACCTACCTGGTAGACCTACATTCTCATAGTACCTTTGAGGTAGCTTTGTACAAAAAAGAATGAAGACCATTTATTTTCTATAAAATATGTCCTGGATGATGCCCAGTACTGCAATATTTGACTACATAGGCCTACTAGTATTGCTCAGAAGCTGGGGTCATATTATACATGAGCTATCTGAAAAAGTTGCTTTTTTTTTTTTTTTTAAATTCAGGGTCTGCACTATACATGAAGTAGGCTTATACACCTCTGTATATATGGTACATAAGTAAACTTATGGGTGATGGCCTGATCCAGAGTAATTCCAGATGGCAAATATCAAGCACAAAATTAAGAGCGAGTCGGAATGTAATAATCCTAGAATTGGGTGACACACTAATTTGTCAAATTATCAATAGAAAAGCATGTGTTTTCAAGTTCCAAAAATAAGATTAGAATTTCTTGGGCAGACAAAGCAAATTAATGAAGGAAATTTTCAAAGTTAGATCTCAGTGAGTACTGGTAGGTGTTCTGGTATAGAAAATTCCTGGTTTCAATGGCAAATTGCTTTTGATTGTAAATCCAATATAAGTCCAAGGCTTCACCAATTGCAACTGCCTTGGAGGAAAATGTTGCTTGAAACTGAATTCTTACCCAGAAACCTGAGTGAAATAATGCTTAAATTCCAGCCATAAATGGTACGGCCAAGAGGCAAGGGTATGACTCCATCCATCAAGACATTTGGATTTAAAATCATAACTGTTTCCTAAAAAAACAGCTACATTCTCTGTTCTAATTTCACTATGTATCTCATTGTGTAACAGAATAACACACAGATGTATTTGTTTGAAAATAAACCAATATTGCAGAAGTAAAATCCAATTTGTCATTTTCTTTTCATTTGTTGTATACAATGCAAATTCCTTTTGCTTGTTAAGGACAGAAAGCAACAAAGATATGCCAACAATTATACTGTTTAAGCAAAAATGAATCATCAGGTGTTGGGAAGTAATCCAATTTACTTGTTTTAATTAAGCAGTTGATAACCAAGCCAACTCACGAGCTGAGAAGCAGGGCAGTGGTTGATCATGATGCCAGAGTTTGCCAGATGTTATGACAATTTCTATATTTACTGATAACAACAAAATATCAATCCTCTAAATTGTAAGGAACTAAAGATAAAAGACAGTAAATAAAATAAACTGACCTTATTTCGGAAAGCTTCTTTACTCCTCTTGGCCAGTTCACTGGAAGTATCTGCTGCAGCTGTTGTAGCTTTCTTTTTTGACTGAAAGAATAAATCACAGACCTACTTCCGACATTAGTTGTTCAGAACTGGAAGCAAAACGTGACAACAATTTATATTCACAAACATAACATCTACTCCAGAAGTTTATTTCATGTTAGTGAATTGTACATAAAAACTAATGAGTCTGAAAGTTTACAAATCTAGATATTGGGGAGAATGTATGACAAAGTGGAAAAAGTTTTCTTGTGACGGCTTTCATCCTTTAGGATTTCATTGGACTAAATATATGTTGGTGTGACTACACATGTGCATGAATGAAGTGTGCTAGGAGTTTTAATTTTTAAAATGTAAATTAAAAAAAAAAAAAAAATCTAGCCAGTTTCATTTAGATTCTTTTTCTTTCCATCACTTTTGTTAGTAGATATCCCACACTGTGATAGTAGATCGACCAGGAATAGGGAAATGTTGTAAAAGCCTAGGTACAAATTTAATGTAGATGATCTTGGGATCAAAGTACTCTCTCAACATTTTTACCGTAGTAAATTGTATTCTCCTTTGATCAGAGTAGCAGATTTTACATCAAGATTGTGCTCACTCTAGTTTTTTTTTTAAAAGCATTTCACCCCAAGCAAGGCGGGAGCGCCATTAGCATGCAAGTTATGGTGGGCAATCAACACATTTGATGTAATATTTTTTTTTGTAAAATGTCCCTTTTGTGTTCATAAAATTTTTTATTTAGATTACTTGAGGTCTCTCCTATCGTATTTTTTTTTTGTGACAATTATTACAGGCGATTGAGTAAATTCCTCCTTAATGAATTAGCTTATTGTTTTGTTTAGTATAGACTAAGTCTTTTATTGTTTTGGATGTAATAGTAACAAATTTTATGTTGACTTTAGATAGATTCTTTATCTAAGTGTAAAGCTAAAACATGAACCTGCGGTGATGGAAATGATTAGAGCTTTTGTAGTTGTTGAATAGTACTTAAATAGTTTTGTTCCCATGCTACTTATTTTTATATCATTTTCAATTCCAAAATAAGGTTAAATTTTGATTTTTTTTTTAATCTGAAATTATATTAATACATTTCCTGAATGCAAAATTAGCTAATAAAGTGACTGCCTTAAAAACTAAGAAGAAGAATACTGCAAAGCTAACCTTGTTTTGAGGTTCATCATGAGTTGGAGTTCCAAGATCCATATCATCTTGATCCCCTTGATCCCATGTTGGCAAATCCCACTGAGTTTGTCTGAAAGTAAAAACATTAACATTATTGTAAAGGTGTATATAATTGACCCAACTTTGATTCCTTTTTTCCCTACTTAATTCAATCCACTGCACTTTTGGATAAAACCCTACTTTATATATTTTTTCTTTCCTCCCATCCATATTTCCACTCTTCTACATAAAGTCTTGATACGAGTTATATCCCTTGAAGTATGAATAAGATGGAGTCTGTTATCCTGGTCAATACTTTTAACCTGTTAAACTATGCTACCCTCACATTCATTGGTTTACACTAAACTAAGCAGCCACCTGAAGCAGCCACCTGATCAAAATGGCATGTATAAAAATAATAAAATGTAAAGTTTTCATTTTGAATCTAGGCAAATACACAATGCATACAAATAACTGCTATTCTAGTTTATTTTTATTTGAAGAAATTGATTCATAAATAAGAATATTTTTCCATTGTTCTTTGAAAAACACCAATGGATGCTAAAATGACAATTTAACATTTAGGCTTGATGAGTCTGTTGCAGTTTTCTTTATAAAACTGCATTCCATTCTTTCTGAATCCTTTGATGATATCTGGAATCAGTTTTGCTTTTAATGCAAGAAGTAGAGGAGAGTTAGATGAAATTGTTTTTGGAAAAGAAAGGTTTCTACCTTTATGAACAGAAATGTTCATAAGGGATTCAAAACTTTCACAGTAGACTTTGGTGTAAGATTTAATGTTAATAAACTCACCAAAGTAGAAATGGATAGTCTTATGGAAGGAAGAGGAAAGTAAACTGAATTTTTGACTCAATTTTAATTGTTCTGTTTTATGAGTAAACATTTATGCCTATCTTTAAATGTTTTTCTTGCAATGCATAGTTCTAAAACCCTTCCCTTCTCTTTTCTTTCAGATTTTATCCATTTAAAAATGCATAAAAATCTGAAACAAGTCATAAAATATGAGTTGAAAATGAGTGATATGGTTCAAGTGAGGTAACTCATTTTTATTAAAATTTATTAGTAATACTACTGATTAGTAATAGTACTAATACAATCCCTGGACAAAAACAAACTATGGAAATAGCAGACTTAAGAGGATATTCACACATTTTTTTTTTAATTTTATAGAAAATAAATCACAAATACAATACACAACAATTTTTGTTTAACTGCTGAACATTGTGGTTTCATTAAAAAATATTTCAAGCAAATTAAATGCAGTTATTTTAACCAGTGAAATATGTTTTTTTCAGATCAAACATGTGAAAAATTACAGAATCATCAACAAAAATTACAATTAGTATTTTGTTTTAGGGCAACCTGAATTCATTTGAAGCATGAACTTCACTGATAAAAGAACAATATTTTCTGGTTACAACATTTTAGAATAGCAGATGGCAAACCAGCTTTGTACAGTGGAGCCTTGTCATGAACATTTTTGTTTTTTTAAAAAATTCAACCAAACATTGGGATGAGATCAGAACTATTTGCTGGTCATGTCGTTGAATTGATGTGCCTTTTCTTAAGAAAAGGGTTTAACACTCTAGTAACTTCATCAAACCTATTTTCTATCATTGGAATGAGAAAAATGTTCATGTACATTTATACAATGAATGTTGAGATAACGAGTACTACCTCCTCGGGTCTTTTATTTGATATGCAACCCCATAGCATAAATGACTAGGTAAATTTGTTTCTTTTCTTTAGGTAATTCGCTTTATATGTTCCATAGGAATGATACCAAAGATCCAGCATCATTGTCCTGTTGAATGCAGATTCATGATTAATCACTGAGTATTACTTTCAGCCAATTATTCACACACTCCATTGTTTGCTTTTCTGTAACCCACTGTAATGTTTTTTTCTTGTTTCAATGTTTGTACTGATTTTTGTTTGATTATTACATGGATAAACCCCAAAATTAATTCAGCTGATTTTCCTGTTATGACTTTGCCATTTTGTTAATACTTGCACCAAATTTTAAACATCTTTTACCACACACCATACTGGATTGCCCTTTTAAAGGAGTTTTATAATCCTTTTCATTGTTTCAATGGACAGCTCTCGTTTCCTTTCAATTAAGCAAGACCAACAGCTCATTAAGTTCTGCAAGCACTCTCTCTTAACTGCAGACTAATTTGCATATTCCCATTGGTTGCATTGGTATTAAAAATGTCAATTACAAGATTTCATAATTGTTTCCCTCAACACTGAGTGATTCTATGCTTTTTTCCAGGGTTTTATCACAAAAAAAAAAGAGAAAATAATTCATTTAAATAAATTAATCTAATATGTTTGATGAATATTTCATGAATCTTTCATAATTTTTGTCAGTGGTTGTATCAAGATTTGAAAGTAATTTCTTCCCACTGTTCCAGAGACAATAAAACATTAAATTGGAACAACCAGTTTTGGGACAATGCTGGAATGATACAAAATTTAAAAATATTCTATCATATTTATTCTAAAAGTATTTAATTTCTTAAAAAAAAAAACCAAAAAAAAAAAAAACCACCCTTACTCCCCCATTGTTTTATAAATGGGGCGTACACACACACACACACAGAGGGAAAAGAAAAAAAAATAAAGTTCGTTTTTAAATGAATAAAAGAAACTTGAATGGAAAAAAAAAGAAGGTTGAAGTACTTAAATTTTAAATATTTGTATTATTTATCACTGAATGTGCAAAACATTAAGATGTGATTGTAAGAACTAATTTTGCTTTAATAAATAAAGCAAGAAAATTATATTTTTCTTTCAATTTTTGGTTAAAAAATTTGAAAGAATTATTAAAAAATATTGTGAAACAAGTAATTGTAAATTAAATTTTTTTGATAAAGTCTTTTAAAACTGAAGATTTAGTTGGAATGCAATAGTAGTTATTTGTTTGAATTTCTGAGATGAGGAGTTATTATTTACACTATTATTATTATTATCACATTTTAATCATAACAAAGATGAGGACAATAGTCCAAGTGTAAATAATGTAAATAGTATTCTTTCCCTAGAAAATGAATGTATAGAATGCATTTCTTAGATTAAAGTATAATAAAATCTACTCTGAGCATGAAAATTAGTAAGAACATTTCTGTATAAAATTGTCCAAGCTATTTTAAATGAAAAATAAAGTTGCAATTTTTATAAAAATTGCAGTAAAATTTAATTTGTTTTGCATTTATTCATTTTTAAATTAATACTTTAGCATTTTTTTATTTCCTAAACATTTTAATGATGTTTTATTATGCTACTAACAACTATAAATGATAAAGTTAAAAAAAAAAAAAAAAAAAAATTTTGATTTAAAAGGAGGCATAGTAGAGTAATGGATTGTGATTGGGATTGAGGAATTGAAGAGTTTGTTTCAAATTCCATTCGAGTTGATTACATTCACTTATGTGCTGATACCCTTGGGAAAGGTAGGAATCCAACTCTTCTCCTTCTGCCCCAGCTATAGGTAAATTGTAGGACAGACTGGTTCTATAGCCTTAGGTGTCAACCAGTCTAGAAGGAAAAACTGAATTCAAAACTGTGTAGCCCTGGTGAAACACATCTTATGTAGCTAAGGAAAGGATCTTTTGCATTGACTCAATGAGCCTGACTCCCTTTAAAATTCTTGGGTAGGATTAAAGTTGTTTTTTTTTTTTTTTATAGGACAGTTTCAGGACAGGAATGAAAAATTTAGTCTGGAGCTCTGGAACTTCGTACATATTTTGCTGAGGAAATATTTGCCAATAAATCATTGATTTCAACTGTCCAAACTGTTAACAATGTAAATCTCATTGAAATAGATTCATTTGATTACCAATATAGAAAGTATATTTTGAGATTCAGTAGAAACTATCCTAACTCAAAAGGTATGAGTTCAAATCAAAACCTAATAAAGAGAATAATTAGGATTGCACTATTTTCAACTTATCAAGTATAGACCAAAATGGAAAGCAGAAGGAATAGAAAGAAATGAAGTTTGTACCAGCAAACTTGTCAGTAACAGATATGATTTAAAATCAATCAGTAGCATAGTCTAATATTTCTTTGGTGAGAAACATTTAAAAGGTATTTCGACCAATGTGTTTACTTGAAGGGTGTGTAGAAATAGTTAGCATTTGAGTACCTAAAGGGGAATAATTAATAATTAAAGGCTGTAGAGTAAAATGTTTAAAATTTTCTTCAATATAAACTTAGTTGTTTTTATTATAATAAAGATACCTTGTGACTGTATGGTAATAATAGGTTTTCCCTTCAGAGTCTTTAGCCATTTTCCAGTTTGGTGGAAGTTTTGTGACCTTGGGTTTTGGAGGAGATGGTGGTGGTGGAGGATCATCCTCTGACATAGAATTGGCCGTGGTATTTTGTGTTGTTGAAGAGAGCACTATGTTTTGAATCTGGAGCTGCTGTTGCAACTGTTTCACCTTTTCATAGAAAAAACAAAAACAAAAAACACACCAAATTAAACCAGTTTCAATTTATCATCACATTAAATTCAGTTAGAAACTTAAAATCATTAAAATGACAATATTAAAAGGAAATTATTTCAAAATGCTGAAATAAATTTTGAATATAAATAAAAACAGACTAAGTGAATATAGTATTCTCATAAAATATTCTTCTTATGCCAGTTTTGCAATGGAATTTACTTGTGAAATATATATATGAAATTTTATGAACACAACTTGTACTTTTCAGTAAAATACATTGTTTACTGGAAATAAATATTTGAGAAGGCTCATAGTGGTACACTTATTGGGTCGTCAGATGAATTTGTTTGTTTTTCCAGTGTTATTTAAAAGAAGATGCAAAATATTTTACCCAAGCGTAATGTTCTATGGTTCTTGTAGTTCTATTCTTCCACTACTACAAAACAAATTTTGTTTATAGTTTTATATTATTGACCGATTTATTAAAATTGTTGATGAATAGGATTAAAATAAATGGAAAAAAATGAACAAATTTATCTGACAACGCAATACCATTTCTTGCTTACAAGATGTGCCATATTCTATTTGAATATTTAATTTCAATCTTCATATTCTAAGTAATCATCTAGCAATAAATTAAATCTTATAAAAATAACATGTTTTGAAATACTCCATGCAAATTCTATAAACTGCATTTTAAGAATTATCATGGAAAAATAGTATTTAATTAAAACACTAAATCCGTTATTAGTTATTGAAACTTTACAAGCCCTGACTCTATGTGGGTGATAAAACTTAACCAGTGAAGGTGTGTACATACCTGCTGAAGAGCAAGTAAGCCCTGATCAATTTGTACAACTTGTGATCCTGGAACAGCTGGAGTGGTGGCTTGAGGCTGTGGATAATGATGCTGAGGAGGTGGCACTACCATAGCCTGTGGTGTAGTTGGATAATACACTTGAGATGGAGCTGTTGGTGCTGCTTGTTGAGTTGTTGGCTGTTGAGTTGAAGTCTGTGACTGTTGCACATACACTGGTGTCAGGGATGTATTCTGCTGAGCTGAAGGTGGGATACTGGCCAAACCAGAAGCTGATTGCACCTGAGAAGCTGGAGGAGGGAGCTGAGGCACACTGGCAGACTGAGCTTGAGGTGGCACACTTTGGTTTGTTTGGGAGTATGCTGCTGTTGCTGCAGTTGTCTGGGGTGTTGTCAAGAACTTTGATGGCACCTGAATTTGAAGGAGTCAAGATGATGACTATATATATATATATATTTATTTGTTTGATATAAACACAAATTACCAAATAATTTATTTTAGATCTTTTTGAACATTTTAAAATTTAAGTGAGTTCAGTCAAGCTTTGGAAGAAAGAATAAAAAAAAAAAAAAATTATTGTATACTTTGAAAAGTACAGAGCTGATCAGAGTGAAAGGACAACAAAATAATTACTTTTAAAGTATTAATCCCCAATTCTATTTTTTATAAAGATTAAAGATGCTATCTTTCTTTATCATAGTGAAACTATTAAAATATTTTCCTATTAGAATGAATTAGCACAATAATAATTTTTAAAGAAATTGCTATAAAGAAAAAAAAAAAAAAAATTTGCTATAAATATTGAACTTTAAAAACTTTATTTTTGTTTTAGTCATCAGATGGTCTTCAGTGCATTTAGGTTTTCACCCATGCAAAAAGATAAATTTTGATTGTAGCGTTACAGCTGTCAACTCAGCATGCATTAAAAAAAATTTCTCAAAATTGTTTTACTTTTTTAAATTTGATTCTAATATTGAAAATGGAAGAAGATGAGCAATATTATGCTTTTTTTAAATTAAAAAAAAAAGAAAAGAAGCAAAATGTGATTAAAATGCAAAAAAATAGTTGTGCAGTTTATAGAGAAGGTGCTATAGAGAATGATAAAATGTGTCAAAAGTGGTTTGCAAAGTTTTGTTTCTGGAACTTTCCAACTGAATGGTGCTTCACAGTCAGGTAGACCAGTTGAATGTGTGAATGATAAAATCAACACTGTGGGGGATAGCCAACATACTCAAAATATCTAAATCAGGCATTAAATATCATTTGCACCAGATTTGATATTATTAATCTCTTTGGTTTCACACAATGTTAAGTGGAAAAAAGAAACTACTGAACTATTTCTCTCTCTCTGTATGATCTATTACTTACATAATGAAGATGTGTGTGTGCATGAGAGAGATAGAAATAGATATGAGCAATAACAAGTGACTATTTTACAATAGAAGAATGCAAGAGAATGTGGGGCAAGCAAAATGAACCACCACAAACGGTACTAAATGTAGGTCCTCAATACATAGAATGAGATACTTTGTATATTGCGAAGTTGGAAAAAAAATCTTTGCTTATAGGTTTTTCAGATAATAAAATAACTGATTTGAACAAGTACTACTTCCAATTGAAGGCTGCAATTGACAAAAGACATGTCTGGAATTAAAACACAAAGTAAAATATCCCATCAAGATAATACCAGATATGTCTCTTTGGTGACCAGGTAAAAAATTGTTACAGCTTGGCCTGGAAGTTTTCATTCATCTGCCATATTCATGAGATATTGCAACTTCATATTACCATATATTCCAGTAAGAATTACCAAATTCTCTCAAACAAAAAGAATCCAATTCTGTAGAAAATTGCAAAGAGCACTGGGAACAGTTCTTTGCTAAGAAAGATGAAAGAATTTGGAGATGAAATTATGATGTTGTCTGAATGATGGCAGAAGAGAGAACAAAATGATAAATATATTGACTAATAATGTTAATGCTAAAAATAAACTGATTGGCTTCTTTTTTTTTTTTTTAAAGAGCATTTCAAGGCATGAAATACCAAACATCATAAAGAAGACCAGCAGTTAAGTATTGTGAATTGCAAAAATTAAAAGACTTTATTAACATCATAGAAGCTATAAAGATTATGAGTTTGTTCAATCAGATTACACTTAAAACCTCATACACAAAGCAGAAGTTCTTTTGATAGACTAAAAACTAATCCTATAGATTAATACTACTTACTTGATAGACAGGTGTTGCAGGTGCATTTGGATAGATAGCTGGAGTTGAGCTACCTGGCTCAATGTAGGTGGGAGTCATTGTAGGTATAGCATTGAGGTTAGGAGCAGCTTGAGATGTAGTTGCATCTGGCACTGTTGCAGCTGTTTGTCCAGCTACGTAGCAATGTTCGAGCAGATTCTCAGAACCAGCTAGGAAAGAAAAACATATTAGCAAAAATTACATTAAGGAAATAAACAAAACAAATTATTACAAATAACATGAAAAATAAATCTAATTCAAATAATGAAAATAACAAGTTCTAAAATTGTCAATTCAGATAAAATTAGTGAATTTTCTACAAAAACAATTTCAAATCATATACATAAACGTTTTTGGATAATGTTAACATATGCAACATCTTGATCATCTGTAATAGTCTGGTTACAGATGTTAATAAAATAGGTTATAGATGTTAATAAAAATATTAATTTCAAGACATAATGAAGACATGGATCAAGAAATTGCAAAACATGTGCACTATTTCTCATGAAATCAAAATAGGTGAAGACCAATTTTCATCTGACAAATACTGTCCTACTCTTGATGAACCAGGTGGTTATAATAAAGATCAAGTGGCTATAGGCAGAAACCATTCTCACAGGCTGAGACTTCAGTTAGGCAGAGATGTCGAAATGTTTATACATGGGTTTTGAAGCACATGTTTGATGAAATATCCAGCTTGTTTGACTAACCATAACCTGACTGAAAACTTGTGGAGCACATTCTGAAGAGGAAGGTTTACAATGATAGATGGAAATTTACCAGTAAAGATGAACTTTTGGAATGCTATTCTGGATGCAGTGAAGTCTGTTTCATATGAAGAAATATGACAGATAAACAACTTCTAAATCTAGTTTCAGTTCAAAACCTTTATTTAAAACTTTGTGCATGTTCTATAATTATAAATTTTGGAGTTTCAGTAAGCTGTCTAGTAATATGAATATGGAAAATCCAGTAAAATTAATAAAATGGCTGACACATCGTAGTTTCCTATAATTTATGCATATCAGGTGAAAATATCCTATACAATTTCTGTGATTTTCTTCATTAGTTTTCTAAATTTAAGAAAAATTAGAAGTAGCTCATTGTGTGAGATATAGTGTATGGCATCGAAATGAAAGATATTGAATCCTTTTAATAACTTGCAAAAACAATTTAATTGAAATTCATCAACTGTAATACAAATTATGACCAAATTTTTCATATACCTTGTGGTTTCTGAGCAACTGCTGAAGATGAACCAGTAGTAGCAGCAGGAGTAGTGGAAGGATAACTGGAGTCTGGTGGTACTGAAGTAGCAGGAGGTGGAACAGGGATTTGGAAGCTTGAGTCTGCCTGAATGTAGCCAGTCTGATCAGCTGTTGTGGCCTGGTATGTGGCAGGATCAGGAGGAGGGACTTGGTAGGCATTTGGGTCTGTAGCTCGCATTGCATATGCATTTGGATCTGAAGGGTGCATTTGGTAAGCACTAGAGTCTGCTGACTGCATTTGATAAGCAGTGCTAACATCAGCTTGGGCCATTGGATAAGCACTAGCATCAGTTGATGGCATTGGATAAGCATTAGGATCTGCTGGTGGTGGTAAATGGTAACCATGATAGACAGATGAATCTTGGTATTGGGCATTTGGATCTTGTTGGTACATTGCAGAATTAGGGTCTGCTTGATAGGCTACGGCTGCATTAGGATCCTGCTGGTAGCCCATATTGGGATCTTGTTGATATGCCATATTGGGATCTTGTTGATATGCCATATTGGGATCTTGCTGTACATAATAATCATAACCTGTCATCTCACTGCCCATATATTGCTGCTGAAGGTATTCCTGTTGCTGTTGCATGTAGGCAGCTTCTTGCTGCTTCTGATACTCAGCCATTTCATCTTGTGCCCGTACTTGAGCCTCAAACTGTTGCCGTCGCTCCTCTTTACTTAATTTGGGTGGTGTAGGAAGCAAGACACGTCTATAAAAGAAAATAAAAATATTACAGAATATTCTTATCACTGTCAAAAAAGATATTCGAGGTAATATTGCAAGAAAAACAATATTTGCAGTTGAAAACTAGAAGGTTAAATTCGAATTACAGTAAATTTAAAATATAGTCAAGTGAGGTTAAATTGCATGTACAGTATGCGGCAGAAATACCTCTTACATAATGGTAAGACATTAATGGCAATGATGTCTTCATCTAGCTAATGTCTTACCATTATGTGAAAGGTATTTCTGTGAGATATATGTGGGAGGTATTTCTGCTGCAACTTGTACAAAATAAAAAAAAAGCAATTTAATCTGGTAGTTTTCTGAAAAATATTTTGGCTAGTAGATATTTTATTACAGAGGAAACTCTTTAAAAATTATTGGAAGGATAAGTCTGTATAAAATATATTCCTAAATAGTACTGTCCCAATATTACTGAATATTCCTAACAAAACTCAGTAAAAATTATTATTTTTAGGTTATTTTCTCTATATGTCCAGCATGTAAAATATACTAAAAGTCATTTTAAACTATTTTGCGTTGCAGAATGTAACCAAGCATTTTTATTGAATCACAAATGAGCCTATATTGCTGCATTAAAATTTGTATTCAAATTGTTATGAAACAGATTCTAAACAAATACAAAGATTCCATGAAAAACAAAAAGCCTAGTAAAGTGTGAGGCAGTAGGGTAGTGGGTCCAAATCTATAGTATAGACAGCAATATTACAAAAGAAAAAAAAAAAAAAAAAATCAACTAAAATTTGGCACACATATTGCTTTTTGATCTCATGCTAAATTGAAATTAAATTACTGAAAAAAAAAAAAATTATTTGAACCAACTGAGCCAGTACAACATGTTCTAATATTCAAAAAGAATTACATGGCCTCACATGTAAGTAGAATAGGACTGTTCATGTGAGTAACTTTGTACTGGTTGTTTACTGCATTTCACTGCTGATTTCCAGTTACACAGGCAGTTCTGGATAAGTGAAATTTAGCTAAATTATCCAGGGACAGTGTATCAGCAAGTGGTGAGCTCTCAAGGTTCAATGGGCAAATCTGATATAATAAAAGGTTTTTAAACTTTTTTTATGCCAATTTTTATTCGTTTTCTATAAAAGTTCTCCAAACTACTTATTCCACATTATATTTCATTTGTATGCAAATTGGTTTGTTTTCCAACAGTCTTTTCAACAGGAGTAGAAGTTTATCCAATGTTTTCTGTTTAGGATTAGGTTTCCAGTTCTTTCTCCTATAGTATTCTTACTTTTTTTCACCCCCCCCCCAAGTAACCCCTTGGCAAAATCACACTTTATCTGTTGACTCTTCACAAGTTCCTTTTAAGACTTGTTCTCTTAGTTTGGCTACTAGCAAAAGCAAGAAGAGATGAATTCATGCCTTTCCCAATGGCCTTTGCAAGAAAGTGAATGCAACAGACAAGGCCAGAATTTGAACATAGCTAAACTCATTCTGTACTGATAAGAATTATACTACCTAAACATCCACATCATATGCAATAATTAAGATTAAAAATGTAAATGATCAGTTTTCTTGTTTTTAATATTCTGTGCAGAAATATTCTATAATGCTTAGTTTACTTATATGTTCATGATAGGTTTGGGTGTAAATAAATCAAAATCTTACAAACAATTTTACAAAGTTCTCATGGACTGTGTAAAATACAAAACTACATTTTATAAACAACATTTACCAGTTCCTATAATTTTAGAAGGCCTCTTTCTGCTTATCGCTAAGTTGAAGAACTTAGTTGCAGCAGTCTTTAGATTCTAAAAAACGCTTCTATAGTAAAACAAGTATGAGGAAGTGCTGAAAAGTTCTCGACTTGGTCCATGTTCTCAAATCTGATCAAACATCAGAAGTTTTTTTTTTCTTGGCTGTGTTGAGAACTTTTATAGTCCCTCTCATAATCTTGAAAGAGCATTTCCTAAAAGCATTGAACAGCAGAGAATGCATAGCAATGCACTATCTTTCATGCAATAATAGTTTATTTCAATATTCCAATTTGCACACATGTAACACATGTCGACAAGTAGTAGTTACTGTTTGATAATAAAATTCATATTTTTAGCCAAATTAAAATCAAGTCCATAATATACCGGAAGTTGAATATACTGAAAGGAATTTACAAATGGGATCAGATACATTGGCAAAAGATAAATACCTTGGCCTATTAGGATTGAGTAACTCCTGAACTTCCTCTCGTCTTCGATCTGAGCGTGATTTAAATCGAGAATGACTCTTATCAGGTGACACCTCATATCGTCGCTTCCGATCCCTTTCTGGAAAAAAGAAAAAAAAGAAAAGAAAAATGTCTTACTGATAAAAAACCTAAACATTCATATAACCTTGAAACAAAAAGACTGATGCAAGTGTATGAACTAAGATATTTAGATATATTTTAGTCTTTCAATACTAATTAAAAAAATTACTATAATCACAGTAGAATGAGGAAATATAAAGTGTAGGTACAATGTTATGATCATGTGTTTTGTTTTACATGATGTCAGATTTTATTATATAAATCAATGTTTTCATAATAATAACCAACTGGTCTTGGTAATATTTTCAGGTTATGCTTATATGAGAAATAAAACATTTGAATTTGAGCTTATAATATATGTTTTATTAGAAATATTCAGACTAACATAATTAGTGGTGTCAGATTTTATTATGCAACTCATCATATTGTAATTGATATTTTTTAATTTCATATAAATATTGTTATGGGTAAAAAGAAAGCTATAACCTAAAAAGAGAAACATAGTGATGAGAACACAATATTGAAAATGTTGAATAAAGATCCTAGAGCAACATAAAACATTGTTAGAATCAGGTTTAAGAATGTCACGAAAACAGACTCGAGTAAAATTTAAACGATTATAAACAAGAAAAGTGGCTTATCCAGCAAGAAAATATGTGAAGAATCTGATGTGGCAAATGTAAACAGAGAAAAAGTGCAGAATATTAAGAACATTATTTAAAAATATCAAAGCAACTAAACCATCACTTTTAAGTAAAAATCAGAGAAGTGTGTAAATTGGGCAAAGTTGTACATGAAAATCAATTTCTCAATAGTAATTTTCTGTGATGAATGTAAAGCTAGTGGTTGCAATGAGAGGTTGGGTCTTTTATGGAAATAGTCACTTAACATGACTTAAAAGATAAAAAAAGATGAGATGGAGTAATGTTTGGAGTTAATATTGTAAGCAGTAAAAGTTGATGATGGTTGCAAGATAAATGCAGAGAAATAGTGAAGTTATTTGACAAGATGCTTTTTTTTCCCAGTGATACAAATCCTAATCACAAAACTTAAGCTATAGAATTTATTCATGCAAAGTTGACTATTGTTCACCTTACAAAAAATCAAACTGTTTAAAAAAAATAAAATAAAAAATACCAAGTTAATGGAATGGACCATAGCCTATCCAGATATTAATCCAATAAAAGACCTTGTGGCCCATCATTAAATAGATTTATACAAGAATGAAAAATAATATTCAAGCAAAAAAGCTTTGTGGGAAGCAATAAAACTGCATTAAGTAATGTGAAATTTGAAACAGTAGAAAAATTAACTATGTTCAAGAATGTGAAGGAGCCCAAATTAACATGTAAAATAAGTTATTCATGTATATGGGATACTATGTTAATCAAATATATGTTTATACGACCTATATCCTTTGGATTTATTTAGAAATAAAAATTTATAACACTTCGATTGTTTGTATAAAATGTGACACTCCACAAACAAGTAGTTACCATATATTTTTAATAAGGATAGATTTTATAAGCTGAAATTGAACACTATGTTTGTCATATAAAGATATGAAAATTTTACTAATAATGGTCAGTTAATATCAATTTTATTGTGAAAACATCAACTTGAATAATCAAATCTGATATCATAAATATTAATTCATTTATGAACTCAATTTGTTATCCTAATGTATTCCTTCAAATAATTTGTTCAAATCAAGAGTATTTTTCTTTTTTTAATCAAATTCTGGTTAGCTAAGTTATTCAGCCAGTGTTTTAACTTAATTGACAGAAATCTTTGAGTAGTCAACTCATGCACTTTTTGAGATGGAAAAAATTTTACAATTTTAATAAAATTAACCATTATAAGCTCAGTGCGATGAGCAAATTATGAGAATGTTTAAATTATCTAAATGGTAAAAACAAAGGATAATTATTTTTACTACAAAATAATGCTTTTATCATTTGGTGCTAAAACTGCAAAGAATATGAGAAAGCTAAGGTTTTTTGCAAAACTTAGGAGAAAAACCTGAGGATTTTGATAAACTAAAAAATCAGGCTAAAAGAAACCTGTACGACAGATAATGGATTATCAGAAAAACAAATGGAACTTGCTGACCTAAAAGAAGGAAGAATAATTTTGATATGTGATTTGATTATGGGATCCTATCTATTTTTCCTCTGAAAACAAAATAAATATAAAGCTCTTTGCAAGGAAAATTAAAAGTACACAAAGTAAGGGCTTTTTATTTTTACCAAAGTTTCAAAATGTTTGGCATAAAGACTTCTTTGTTCTATATGATAATTACTGAATTTTAATAATTTTAAGTTTTTTCTTTGCAGAAAAGGGGGTTTTGAGAAAATATTAAAAAAAAAAAGTAAGGGTTTTTGACTGGATGATTAGATGTTTAAGCCTGCCTTCTTGGATGATGGCAAGATAGAAGTGAACTAATGAAATTATGAAGTAAAACCTGGACAGAAAACTGATTGGAAAATTTGAGATAGTGTGGGTAATGGGTAACTGAGAAGTAAAAATCATTAATCAGAAATTTTGAGGGCTCCAGAGCATAGCAACTATTTTAAAAGGTCTAATATTAACCCTCTGAATTTGTCCTTTAGTAGTTGTGGCCTGGGAGTTGACAGACCTTGTCAACATACTGTATGGTGACCAGACCCTGAAACAAAGTGTTGGGCTGAAGAAATGCAGAAAGCAAAGAAATTAAAACTTGAAAAGTTATCCACTAAGCAGGTTGATTATCACTTCTGATTGAAGTAATCATCACCAAAGCACTATCTATACAAATTTCACTTTTCTTTTGCTAAACGTTTTTGTATTTGTGAAGAATATCACTTTAGATAGACAGCATTTATAAAAACTGTCTTTTTAACAGACATTTTTCTTTTCTAGCAACTAGACAGAGTTAATTTCATGGATGTTTCAACCATCTTCAACAAGAGACTTCTTCAGGTCTAAAGATGGTAAGGCCAGCTGGCAGATGCACAAACTTATCACATTACAAATCATTTTTCAAATAAAGAAAAATTGATTTTTTTTTTAAATATTTTAAATTGTTTATTATTAAAATTCTTTTAATTTTGTTTGCAAAAGAAAAATAGAAAATATTTTTACCCAATTCCCTTTCAGTTCGTTTTCTTTCCTCAACCTTCTCCTTTTTGGGTATTTTGAATACTTCCTGGTAAAAGAAATCAACCAATTTCATTATTTTAGCATTATTCTGAATAAGAAAAACAAACTCAAATTATTTCCCAGAATGAAAAAGAAAAAGAATTTGCAATATTGTTATTTTTTATAAGATTATGAAAAAAAGATGCAAATGACAATTTTTAAAACGTTTTGATATTCAGATTGTTAGTCATTTGTCTAAAATATATCTGAGAAAATATTAAAAAAAAAACCAAAAAAAAAACCAGATATCAAGGTAAATCAGCCACTAGTATTAGTTTTATTAACCTGTGGGCTGAAAATGACGAGAATTTCTGACAATGCAGTTTTATGCCTTGTAAATGACAAATTTCTGTCACATTTAATGGATTAAATAATGAGTTGCTTTATAAAAGTTAAAAAAGACAAAAAAAATGCCTATCTAGTTTCAATACAAGGATAACTCCAAAAGTAATGCATCCTATTTTATTACATTGGCCTATGATGCCAAAGATGGATGTTGGTTTTATGATACCAGTGGCTGAACCTTCTTATTAACAAGACATCATTTGTTTTTCTTTTGCTTTACAGCTAACAGTGATAAAATAGCATCTGACATGAAAGTGTATATGAAGCAGAGATCTCACATTTAATCCCTCAATTCTGATAAAATTGCACTCACTGACATTCAATGAACATTTACAGAGACCAAATAGTGGATGTGAACACAGTCAGTGGTTAATATCTTAGCAGTGTCGACTGCAATGAGTGTGAAGCCATGTGTGGGGTAGTCCTGTACAAATGTCAACCCACTAAGTGAAGCGAATCTTGAAAATGCAAAGTAAATGCTATTGGTTATGTGGGGAAAAAAATATTTTGTAGCTAAAACCTGGCTCTATCCATCGGTGTTAATATACTCTTTGTAGCTGTTGTAGTTTCTGTGGAAATAAATAGGAGGCATTACTTTTGGAGCACACCGCATTGTTAGAATAATTAACTCTTAGCATCTCATTTGGGATTTTTTTCTCAACTATGACCATAAAATTGAATGATTTCCTAAGCAAAAGTGATTCAGAAATGTTTTGACAAATGAAATAATGGAGATGCTACTCAAAGTGATATCTCAGTGTCATCTGTTCACACCAGCAATCTCACTAACTTCAATGATAATGAGAGTGATAGTGACACCATCATGGATGACTTACTTGCATTTATTATCTTTTATTTTAGTCTTTTTTCTGAATAATAAAACACTGGATTTTGATAGATATTACTGTCCTCATATTTAACCTGATGTATAATTGACACTATTAATTTTTAAGTAGAGTTTGTTATTTTTAAAGACTTGAGTGGTATATTATTAGTCTACAGGTGTTTTCTCAGGTAAAAATGCCTGTAATACAGGTAATAACAGCATTAATTACCTATTGTACGTACCCTCATAATCTGAACCTGCTTCCTCTTTTATGTTCATACAACCTCATTTAGTAATCTAGAGGGACCAATTTTCCTTAATTCTATTTCAGGTTTTAGGGAATTCTGTATTTTTTTCTATTTTCAATATAGAATTTCGTTTTTCCCCCATTTTCAATATAGATTTCTGTTTTTGCTTCATTATAATATTTAGTGAGAAAGTGTAATAATATATAAATGTTATTAAAACAAGAAAATGAAATATTTTAATAGCTGGAATATCCACCCACTGGACAAGTTGCTTCAGCTTGATAGGATTCCATACCTCATACTTCTCCCCTTAATCTAAACTTGATGAGTTTTTGGAACAACCCTTGCAAAGAATACTACAATCCTAAATAAGAATTAAGTGACAAAACCTACAGAAAAGTAGCACCACAAAGTCATCTAAAGACAAAAAGCTACATTATCGTTTGGTCACTTTATTGAAATTATTAAATAACATTTTGGAAAAAAAAAACCCAAAAAACAAAGGCTAATTTGTAAAATTTGGCTTTCTGAAATGACAAACTGCCCCCCACCTTCATCACCATGATGTGACAGAAAAACAAAAGGATAAAACAAAAAGGCAAAATTTTTTTGCCAACCCCAGTAAACTACCACAACTTTTTATTTTATTAAATCAAGCCAACTTTGTAAAACTTGGTTACTAAATACTGTAAATTGTAGGGAGACATCAGGTAAAGGGGATGTATTAAAGCATTACCAACTTTATCCTTTGATGTCTGTCAGATGAGTGAGTTATGAAAGGCAAACATAGTAACAAATGGTAGTTGGCAAATCTGTTAGGGGGAAAAAAATTTTCCATTTCAAGTAGGCCATTCCGGATTCTGGAAAATAAGCCCTTCTAGTAACCTTTTGCTTTAAAAAAGAAAGAAAAGAAAAGAAGAAGAATGTTACCTTTAAATCACTCCAGTGCTTGAGTAAATCAGTGGCAAGAGATACAACTGAAGATAAGTTGCCTGAATCAAAGTTTTTCCCCTCTGCTGCAACCTTCACTTCATTACTACTGTCATCATCTTTAGGCGAAACTTCATCTTCAGCTTTCTCCTTTGTAGAACATTTGTCCAAAATATCTATTGATGAAGATTCTGCTTCATTTGATTGAACTTTATCTTCTACAACTGGAGAAGATGAAGATTCACTAGAAAGCTCTTTTTGGAGTTCTGGTTTTATAAGAATACCACTTTTAGGAGTTGCACTGACAACATGAACGGGTTTGGCAGCCCTTGTTTCATCCAATTCATCTATATAAATACCACCCTGATTTGAATAATCGGGATATGGTATATCAGAGCTGTCAGCAACTTCATTCAGTCCATTTTTAGCCATTGGTTCATTGAGGTAGATCATGCCACTCAGACGGCTGCATTCTGACATTTCACTATCAGAGCTAGTCTCATCAGCAAATTTCACTTTCTTCTTTGGTGGCCGCTCATCTCTGCTGGCTACTGACGAAGGAGTGCCAGCTTGGGAAGAATTGTCATTACTTTGCTCTGTCTCGACTTCACGCTCAGCAGTCATCTTCAACTCATTTGCCCATCTCACCACCATAGGCAGGATTTTGCTTTCTTGGAGAATGGTCTTGTTTGTAATTGGAAGCATTTTCAGTGTGCCCAAAATCTTAAAAACAAAAAATAAATTTACTCTAGGTTTTAATAATAATAATAATAATAGTCTCTCTCACACACACACAAATACCCACACAAGTAAAAATACCCACACAAGAAAAATACACTGAAAAATATCAAAATCCAAAGGAAAAAATATTTACAAGTATATTTGAGGTGGTGAAACGTTATCAATCCAAACCATTTCCCTTATTCAATATCAATATTCTGATCACTGAAATACTGATTTTGAAAAGTCAATCAATTTTCAGCACCCCCTTGTAATATGACAGTAAAAATATTCATATTTTTATTCAAAATTATAAGTAAATAAAACAGCAGTAATAACATACCCATTATAAGTAAAGTAGTAATAACATACCCATTATAAATAAAGCATACCTATTATAAATAAAACAGTAGTTATAACACACCTATTAGAAATAAAGAAGTTGTAATACCTTACTTATTATAAAAAAAAGCAGCAGAAATACCTTACTTATTATAAACTAGCTGAATTACCTGCACCTTACTGCGTGTCACACATTTTTTTGTAAGAAAATGATGATTGATTTTAAATCATTGTTATAATTTGTGGAGAAAAATGATGCATTTCAATATTACTCAATGATCATGCTGATGTGACCTTCATCTTCTGGCTTTTGGATAAGAGTCATTTCTTTGTTCAAATTTAAATTAAATCAAAGGGGAAAAATTTTTTTAGTGGGGAGTTTGTGCAAAAACAGCTTGATCTGACCCCTTTGATATGTATTGGATGCAATACTTGATTGGATGAATTGATGAGCAGGTTTCAACATTGATATGACAGTTGAATTTTCACAACAAATATGTATTGTAAGGCACTACTACCCACTGATTGGTGATTTCTTTCTCAACTTGATGTCCATATTGTCTCATTTTGATCTCGCCAATGTGACCTCCATCTTCTGGCTTTCTCCTTCTATATTTTGGATAGTAGTTATTTCCTTGTTCAAATTAAAATTTAATTTAAATCAAAAGGGGGAGAAAAAAAATTCGGTGGGGAGAGAGAAAAAGAAAATTACCTGTGATTTCAAATAGAGAGCCCCCTTTCCAATATCAGCCATCCAACTCCATAATAAAGGAAGACCATGATAGTCCAAGAAAAGACGCAAACAAGCCTGCTCATTTGTGCCCTGAAACAAAATTATATGATAACTAAAATGTTGCTGAAAACATGAAAATGTGGCAAAGTATAGCAAAATCAACAAAATTAGCAATTCTTTGAAAACAAATTTAATTTTGGTATAAGTTTAAATGAGTATACAACTTTTTTGATTTTGAAAAGATCGGATAGAATGGTAGGATCAGTAAAAAGCTATTTGCTTACCTGCAAAATACGCAATATGGACAATCGATGGTCATTACTTTCAGCTCTGACCATTAACCTGCATAAATTCAACACATGCTCCTTGTTCTTCAGCCCATCCAGTTGAGACATGCGTTCCATCTCTTCCTCCAACTGCAAGCACAAGAAGTCATCAACTATTGTAAATATATCAACTAACAGAGAGAGACCCAGAAACAAAAACCTTGCCGATTTCATTTTGTAAAAGACAAACAAAACAAGAAATTTAAAAAAATTGTTGAATAAGCAAAAACTACTGAGTAAAACTTAAAAGGGGTGCCTACTGTCAAAAGATGATTTAAAAGTATAGTAAAGATATAAATGATAAATTAGGTGAACCTTGATTTCACAAGGGTTTTCTAAACAAAATCATTGCAATTGATAGCAATCAAAAAGGTTTTCTTGCATACTACTTGTGATAATTCTATGTAAAGCCAAAAACATAATCAAATTGAAATATAAAGACCAATAGCAGAAAGGTTTTATGCTCTGCATTGCAATTCTGTATATCGATGCTATATTTTGAAATATTTAGTGAAAGAAGTTGACTGTGGCATTTACACATCAACAATTTCTGATGTGAAGAATGAGCTACACTAATAAAATGTAGCTTAAGTGACTGAACATTCATAACAAATCAAACTATACTCTAGACCATATATAGTCAATGGTAAGCCTTTTTTTTTTTTCCTATAACAGAAATGGTAATGTTTCATTTTAGTTTGGGATTATTATTATTCCATTTCATGGCTATGACAGCAGAAAAAATATTTCTCTCAAATGATCCTTAAACAGAAGACAATGGACATTTTGGAGTGCAGTGAAAAGTGGAAATAAATTTATATTATGTGGAATGGTAAACACTCTTAATTCTGTACATATATAAAGCTAAAACTTTGAACAATGCGATTATGCCATATTATTTTTTGTAGAAAATGAGCAAGAAAGCATTTATTGTTTTAGTCAAAAGAGAAATCTAATTGTTAGCAGAAAAGAAATTGTTTAACACAAAACCATCTTCAAGTTTGAAGCATAAAGTTAAATGGCAAATATTGACAGCAATGATTTCATAGTTCAGGAAAAGGACCTGTGCAAAATTAAAAGGGAAACAGAAAAATGTGAATTTGATTGTAATACAAAAACAATGTCTACATAATCATTGAAGACAGAACAATACAGTTATATTCAAGCAAACATAAGTTTACTTTTTCAAAAAGTGCTTAAATATAGATTTATAAGAATTTAGAACTATTAAAAAAATAAGGTGGAAGGGTAAATGAATAAAAATCAATTGGGAAAGGGCATCATTTGAAAATAAGATAAAAGCAAGGTCTACAGAGGCAACACATGCAGAAAAATAGATTCAAATTTTCTACACACCAGTTTATATACATGCTCTCAATCTCACACACATACAGTGTAGTCATATCTATATAATTTATACATTTTTTTATACATCAATTTCATGTTATAAAGATTCTTAACAGTCTAAGCAATTGTTAAAAATATAAACTTGAGTTTTTTTAAATGGTACTTTATCATTGAATTATTAATATTATTATTATTATTGTAAAAAGAATGAAAAATGCTCTACTACAGTGGCCTTGATCAAAAGGTGATTTTCATTGATATATATTTAATATGTAACCATCTGTATTCCAAATTGCCGACTCATTTTCTTGAATACTTTTATTGTTACATATATACATGCAGTTATGAATAACAAAGATTAACTCAAAATCAATAAACCTTTAACACTCTGCATTATTCACTATTTTCCTTTCCACTGCATTGTTTTTCAAGGCTCCTCTACTGTACTACATATTTTCAGTCATGGTCATTTTCTGTTTCTATAGCAGGATATGATAACACAACTGCAAAATTCAAATATGCTATCATTCCTTCATCTGAGTCACTTGCAGAGGCAGGATAAAATTTTTGCTTTGCAAGCAAAATCACCTCCAGTATGTTAAAATTTCACTCATGTTCATTGCTTGAAATATATTTTTATCAAAATGTTAAGGATTAACATTTGCATTGAAGTTTGTGAATATCTTAAATTATAAAGAATAGAGAAAAAAAACAAGAAAAGTATTTTAAATTCTCAACCTATTTCCCAACATTTAACTAAATGACTAGACATCAGATTTTCTTTTATTGGAAAGGCTTCTTGGTTGGACTTAGAACTTTTCAGTGTCCTTGTTGGCATTTAAAATAAAATGATATTTCTCTATCCTTCATTTTAGCTAAGAATGAAAATTAAGGTGAAATCTTAATCTCTTTTCCTGTTTCAATCTATAAAATAAACCATACCCATGTACTTAATTGGCCCACTATTATTATTATAAGAATAAGAATAATAAGAATAAGATTAAGAATAAATTTAATGGTTATATTATTTTAATAAAACTAACAAAAACTCAAATTTCCTGTTTGGTGAATAGAGATATAAGAGATAATTGAAATAGAGAAGAAGGTAAAGATTTTTCCATCTGAATCCTGACATGTAACTTGAATCAAAGATTATCATCTACTCTTGCTTATTAATTACTTCTGGTCAAATGACTCAGGATGTAAAATATAAACATCTTTGTAATTATAATATGTTTAATGTGTGTGAGTTCAATGTAATTAATGTTGTAAAGTATAAATAAGAAGAGGTGCAATCTAATGAGTACTCACCAAGGTTTCTATTTTGTTTTTTAAATAATTAATATAATCAATAACTAATATCTAATGTAATATTACAAGTGAAGAAATATTTAACAAAATTTTAAGTTAGACACACTTAATTCAAGAAGCATTTTAAAAATATGTACTTTATTTTTGTTCTTAATTTGGTAACCATGGTAATTTACAAAAATATTTTTTGCAGTTTTATATTTAAATTTTGACATACATTCAGAAATGAAAACTACATTCACATTGTTTGTCTACATTACATCTTTCTTTTCTTTGATATTGTTAACATTGAAAACCTAGTAAAAGTGAAATGCTTGATAATTGTTGAAAATGTGCATCCTTAACCTTCCTGTAGTTAGGACTCCTCTTATGAGTCCATGAAGAATACTTCAATTTCTGTAGTGTCGACATCCACACACAAATCCCTAAATGTATATAGCATTGAGAGAAAGAAATAAGATATTGCAATGAAAAATACATGGGGGAATGAGAGAGAATCACAACGTACACACACACACACACACACACACACACAGGGAACAAGAAAACAAAGCACAACATGTAAGATAATGAGATACAGACACATTGTAATACACTGATAAACAATCAAATTGTAAAAATGGGTAACAGTTGGTTTGTAGTTATCATGACAGCAGCTTAAATAATAAAAGTAAAAGTAAGAATATTGGTAGCAATTGTAATATACAGTCAAGGCTGTAGGAGCAGCACTGTCACATACGAGGGTAATATAAACAGCTGACAGAGAAAACACAAAGCTTATATATATATATATATAAATATATATACATATATACATATGGTTAGTAAGTGACTTTAAAATTTGCTGCTGCTGCTGCATGTTCTGCCTATTTCAATTCTAGCAGGAGGTTAGTTTCTAATTTTACCATGAGTAGTTTTATCTGGCCATCATGGGGTCGCTGCTTAACGGCGGCCTGCTCATCATCCTCCTCATCATCATTGTTGTCTTCACCGTCGTTGTCACCGTCATCATCACCGTCGTCATCGTCACTCTGCGACATGTTGTTCCATTGCTTATTGAGCTTTAGGACATTCTGGAAATAGGGTCAGGGGAAAAGGTTTTGAAAATTCCATTCCAGTACCACAGGCTTTCGACAGAATTCCAACAACTGATTTCAGAAAACCCTGAGATAACCACTGGAACAGTTGTGTTGTTTCTTACTTATTTACTTATTTTCTTTTTAAAAAAAAAAAAAAAAAAAAAAAAACCTATTTTGAAATTGGTCAGGAATCCACAGCATTGCCAGAGCCAAAGTAGATCCCTTCTAATTCTTTATATATAAAAAAATTTACCTGTTAAAAATTAAAAGTTTTAATTGAGCATTAAAAAAAAAAAAAAATAATAAAAAAAAATGTTTGGTTGACCAGGTCAAAAGATTAGTTAGTAGTAAACTATAACAAGAAAACTGACAAAGTCATTTTTGTCAAAGTGTTAATTGTGGATCTATATGTAGGAGATAGACATATAAATAATTGATTATTAATAATATTTCAATATAATCTTGGGAATGTTATAATTGAAAAAAAGATAAAAGAAAAAAAGAAAAAAAAAAGAGAAAAGGTTTTTGATATGTTGAAATATTGAGAAATTCTTATATAAGCATAATTATCTATGGTTAAAAATGAAAAGCATTTTTTTTTTTTTATTTACTATGGAAGCAAATTTATTTTAGTAGGAAAAAAGCAGACAACAAAAGAATACAGAAAAATTTGAACCCTCAAAAAATCATTTCGAAGAGATTTCTAATAAAGAAGCCAGTGTTGGACATGAAGAAAGCCAATGTTACATAACAAAGAAATCAGAGCAAGAGGATCCACTCTTGTTTTTACATACTGAGGGGTTCATGAATGCAAATTTGGATTTAGACAACTAACTTCCCCCAAAAAATTTAGTATAGGAGTTTTTTTCATAAAAAAGAAAAGAAAAAAACTTTAATGAAAAATTAAAAAAAAATAAATAAATAAAAATTTTAAAAAAATAAAAAAAATCAACCAAATATTTTTCGGATTGCAAAAAATAGCCAAAATGATTTGGGGAGTACCAGTTTTACTTTTTAAAAATTAAGTCATTCTAAAGCTGCAATCTTTTCTTTTTTTTGAGTAGGAGTTTTACCATTCCCAGAATGTTAAAATGCTGGTGCAGTCAGGGGTGTGGATGTGCTGAAGAAAGACTTTAAGACCTGTGCAAATAGTTCGATGGCCAGATCAAGAAATCATTGGTAAAATTAGAAGAAAAAAGATTACAGAATATAAATTTATATTTTATCAACATTGCAATAAATTTCAGTACCAAGTGTAAAATTTATATTACATATCTAAGTATTAAAAAATAAACAAAAACAAACAAACAGGTCTCTTCATCCAACATTCCTCTTAAGTATGCAAATATAAAAGTAAAATTGGTTATTAGTGATGACAGAACAATAATTCAAGTTTTTTTTATAAAATGGAAGAATAGACTTGAAAGGGAAATAGAAAATTAACTGCTTTTCTTTTTACTGATTTTATTGCAACAGTTTCAAATTTAATCCTATTGTCAATATTTATTTACCATACCATAATATAATCTTATAACAACTATTTATTATTTGATGGAAGAAATTCATATAAAGGCCAATTTTTATGCAATTTCAAACCTTGCAAACACAACCACCACCTCAGCAACTGAAACCAGATCAATGAACCATACATAACCACTTGAGAAACTTACTTTTTTGTATGACATTGTGCATGACTTTTGTATGACATTGTATGACTTTAATTGCATTTCGATGATGCAATTCATTCTTATTCCAATAACTGTTCATACTTTGCTTGTGATCAAACACAACTCAAGAGAATGCATTCTCTGGAATACAAGAAGTTCAAAAAATTGAAAACTTGCACAACATGAGCAGAACAGACAACCTGCTGACCACATGTGAATCAACTATTTGTTAATAAATTTGGTTATTTTATTATTAAAAAGAACTATAAATACAGTGTACATATATATATATATATATATATATATATATATATATATATATATATATATATATATAAAAATGGAAATATTGTTCTGATATATTTTAATGTTTTAGAAAAATCTTTTACTATGTGAAATTTTCATATACTGAAAGTTTAGATGATTTTAAACCAAATACTTTACATTGCAGTTTACATCCCAGACCTTATGAGAAAATATTTGACTAGAAATACAAAATGTTGACTTATTTCAGATAACAAATTTTATTTTGCTATGGCTTCAAAAAAATATGAAGAAAAAAAAATAGGGGTGGGAGAGAGAGACAGAGAAACAATTAAATAGCAGCAAATATTTTTCCAACATGTCCTCTTTTTTAAGTACTTATCTAATTCCTGATTCTTTGTCAAAAGAAAAAAATCTTACAAAGCAAAAATAAAAAAGTTATTTTTTTTCTCTCATAGGTTTGAAATTAAATCTAAAACTACAATAATGTAAATATTTTAAAAAGTAAGAAAATCAAAGAAACAGTTGATATTTTGTTTATAAATTCAAGGTGAACAACTTAAATGAACAAAAGAACGTACTAAATGATTTTCAATCTTATGCAAATCAGTATTCATAAATGGCATCTAACAGATCTTTTAAAAAAATAATTCACAAACAGAATATACAGATTTTTACAAAGTAGACATTAAACATTTCTTTTTAGGAAAGAGGAGATGATCAGCAGTAATAAAAAAGATTCACTTTAAGATATTACATACTCTCAATGTTATATTTTACACCAAAGGTACATTGAAATTTGTACAATGTTGATATATAATACTCTACTATTAAGGTTAGTTAAAAGTGCTGCAGTATTCTAAAATAATTTTTTCAATGGCCTTATTCATTGTATAGCAATATGGTGGTGCAGCTGGCTAAGCTAATGTTCTGCTGATAAGAGGTGCCAACACAAACAAAATAAACTCACAGATTCATCTTCAAATTCTTTCTTCTTCTTATCAGAGGCTGCAGCTTTTTTCTTTGACTTCACAGGAGTCTTCTTTTTCCCTCCAATTGTTCCTCGACAACATTCGGCACCACAGTAGCACTTTTGAGCTTGCTTGCTATACAAATAAGTAACAAAGATCCACATAACTGAAAATGTTTAAACAAATGATCAACATTTATTCTCAATAAATATGAAGATTCGACTCTGGGATATGAAAGTAAATCAATTTTGACTAATATAATCAACTTATATGACAATTATTTTATACAACAACCTTAAGTCTGTTTTCTAAAACAACAAAACCATATGTTTATAGCAAATATTCTAATAAATGTTGATGCACTGAAGGACTTGCTGTGACCAACTTATTAAAAATGAAACTGATCATAACCAGTAAAAAAAAAAGGTTTATTTTCTGTATTGTTTTACTTGAAGCCTTCAGGGATAATGGGTGAGATTAGAATTAAAGCAATGAACATTTTTAATTGATCACATTATTCTAAAACACTGCTTAAGAACACAGGTCATAATTTGATGCTAACCTTTCAAATTGATAATCAAACGTCATTTCTGTGCCGGCTTTGATGCTCTTTTTTGTAAAGAAACCAATGCGAAGCATGCCATTGACTGTCCACTGTAATGAAACAGAAAACAATAAATAAATGTTATTAAACTGAAAATTATAACAGGAAATTTTCATAAAATTATTGAAAAAGTATATTATAAAAGTGATAATTTCATATTTTGGAGAGAAAAATATGAATATATAAAATATGTTTTATTTACCCTGGTCTCCCCACTGTGACAGGATGTGACACAAGGCTGGGTTTAATGTGGTGAACCTGAGCGCATATACCAGAGCCAAGGACAAGAATTGCCCAACCCCTACAACTATTGATTGCACTATCATCAATATGACTATCGACCCCCAACACTTTAGTGCAAGGATGGGTGCAGCCTCAGGCAGTTGTTCCCTGGGAATAGGCACCTCACAGTAATTATTTTTCTTAGCTGTGTCTCTGTCTGCAGTCAGAGCCACAACTGAGTTGCATTCTGCCCAAAGATAGATGAGAGCCCTACCGGACATGTGCCAAGTAAGCATATAAAATATGTATTCATTAATACTGACTCAATAGGCATTTTAGAGAAAACAAACAGAATAATTGGTTTTAGGCTTGAAAAAAATTGTACAAACAAAAATTCAGGTTAAAATTAACCAAAATCTAAAACTCATAAGGAATAATTTTAACTTACTTTTTGGGTTTCGCAATTAGGATCACAGCTATGGTTGATGAAGCGAGATTTATTTCCCCTGTAGGTTGCGTCAATCACTTCATCAGCATTTAATGACATAAAGTAATAATGTTCTTGGCCATTTTTTGCATATTGTTTTGTACGATTCTTGAATTCTTTGTAATCCAGGACTTCACCAACATACTCCATCACAAATGTATGCCTACATAAAAAAAATAAATCCATGTAAAACAACAGTAAATATTAAAACTAGAAACTTTTACAGGCTAACAGTAAGAATAATTTTAAACAGATATTTTAGTGGATTATTTTAGCATTAAAATTAATAAGATCACTAATTTATTGGTTAAATTCTGAAATTTATTGAGAACTAGCTTCTGGAAACTTATTTTAAGAAATTAGGGGATTTTAATTTAGCAATTTGATATACAGAACAGAGTAATGCTTTATAGCTTTTTTTTAATGTTCATAGTCTATCACATTATAAATGAGCTACATAAGCTTTAATCCTTGAACAGTAATTTGGGTGTGAAAAGAGTTGAAAATAATAAAGTCTGCATCTAGTATTAATGTTTACTAGATGATTTCAAGTATGCTGTACCAATTTATGAATAGATTACGCAAGATTGTGGATTTGGGGAAGAAATACTTGAACTTTTCAGAACCTCCTATTAATCAAATTGAAAAACAGATTTATGTATTCAAAAAAAGAATGATACTTACGGTGAAGATCATCCAGAGTCATTAAACCGAGGCCTTTGCTTTCTGTCTTAAATGTAGCCACCTTTACATATTGGTGCTGTGGATACAAATAATAAAGAATTATAAGAAAATATTACATGTTGGGTGCACTGCAAGAAAAATAAATAAACATATAAATTGAAAATAAAGTATGTAAGATTAAAAATTACATTCAGAAAATTATTTTTATGCTGATGACAAAAAAATAAATAAATCAGACTTTATTATATACAAATTTAAGAGGATGACATTTTAATTTAAAAAGCTTTAAGCCATAAAACTAATAAAAAAGTTATACTTAAAAAACAATACTACCTCTGTACCATTAGTTTATATTTATTATATGAAATGTGACTGAAAATGTAACAGCTACTGTTGGACAGAGTTAGTCTCTTAAGTAGGTACCACCAAAACTTTTCTTACAAAAAAACAAAACAAAAAGAAAAAAAGGTCCCAAACTTGAGAAAAAACAAAGTTTTATTGTCAAAATGTTTATATTATTATTAAAAGGAAAGACCGAAGTATTTTTAGATTATTTTATTAAATTTTTAATCCTTCCTAAAAATCAAATAAATGTTGGATTTTAATTAAATTTTCAAGACTTCTTCACAAATGAATGAAATTATTTTTTTAAATAGAAAATCTTGGTAAAAATATTTATTTTTTTTACATCTGTTATCCCCATTTAATTATATGAAATTTCTAAATTAAAATTTCTGGATCTTCATATTTATATTAGTTAAAAGCAGGACTCCTTGTAGAATTTAAATCGTCAATTTGTTTTTGTCAAACAGAAACACTATTTACTGAAAATCTGCTCTGAATCATAAAATAAAAAATCCAATAAAACTATGACATTATTTAATTAGAAAAGCTTTTAATTGCTTTTGTAAATAATATATATTAAGGACACATTGTCTTAAGAAAACATTTTTTTTTTATGAAGTATGAATTTTTACAAGAATTGTTTTCAACTAGAAAAATTTATAAAATTTGAAATCTTAAAATTCTGTATTAATTTCAGCCTTTTAGATGATATTATTAAGTGAAAACTATATTTACTATGCATAAATGGAAAAATTTAATACAATATTTTAAAGAGAATTTTGATATTTTTTTTGGTGTATAAAAGTGCCCATTTTTATAAGTATGGATGACCATACACAACATTATCAGAAAATGAGAATGATAACTATAGTAAATTTAAAGTTAACATTTCAAAACTTCAATAAATTATTAGATTAAGGGAGATTATTTTCCTAAATTTTCAAGATTACTGGGTACTTAAAAAATCATATAAAAAAGGCACTTGTGTCATTTTCTTTAATTATGTTTTCAATATGTTTTGCAGATAAAGTTTCCATAGAAAAACATTAGATCTACTGCTGAATTAAAAAAAAACAAAAAAAAAACGCACTTCTGCGATATTTTAAACTTAAAGTAAATAATATTTGCTTCAAATCAACTAATAATCCACAAATAAAGTTTCAGAAAACTATATTTTATTTTTGGAAGATTTTTTAACAAAGAGAATTACATTGCGATCAAAGAAGACTAAAAAAGAGTGCTAATCAGCTATTTAACAAAAAAAACAAACTCCTTCCAGTCAATTTAAATTAATTTTTGAAATACACTAAAGTATTTTGCATATTGGAAATATTTAATTGAATAAGAAATAACTTTGGTCATGATTGAGTAAGGAATCATTGATATAATTGCCCTATTAAACAGTTTCTGTAAATTATTATCTTTGTTTCCTGGGAGGTTATTTTCCCAAATTTTATACATTTCATAATTAGGATTCAGCTTTGGTACTATGTATCTGACAATTACTAAATGAATTATTTTCTTTGGCTGACTTTTGTTCAAAGCAGTATTGTTTAATGATTCTAATATTGCCTATCATTCTATACCATACGGCTAACATATTTTGTCTAGATGGTAGTAATAAAAAAAAAAGTGGGTAAGCAAACTTTGGGTAGTTTTGAGAACTTTTCAATTTGAAGGCAAAATCTTCTATTCAATAATAGAAAAGAAATGAGTTGTGAAGGGAAAATAACTGATATTCCCAAGTGTCTCTATTTTTTGTTGTTATGCATCTTGCTCCCATATTCCAAGAAGGGCATTCAAGTTGTGTATATTCATTTGTTGTTAGAAATAACTAAAAATAAATAAATAAAAGTACTAGATTGAAATATGTCAAGCTTCAAATCTAGTAGCATTTTTAAAAATTTTATTAAATTACAATTCCAAATTATTATTTGATAGATATTGAATTAAACTAAGGCCAAATTTTTAGGAAATATTTTGAACAAAGATTAAAATCTTACCCGTGTAAATCGTTTATTGTTACAGTATTCACCACATGGGCACCGGGAACCACTGGAAAGAAATCAGAGACAGCACATATCAGCAAAACAAATTAATTTTAACAAAACTAAATCATACAATGATAATAAGATCACTAATTTTTGCATGTTTCTTTAATGTTATATCCAAACATAAATAATGCAGATAAAAAGTCTGATTAGCTTATTGAAGTAGAAAAGAGTTACTTTATTGTGCTGACAAAATGAAATAAAGAAATTTAATGTGGATTTTTTGTATTAAAAAAAAAAACACACAGCATTGTTGTACTAACAGATTATGAATTTCATTTGAAAAATCCAAGATCCTAATAAATTTAATTACAACACCATCTAGCTTTCATTAAAGAAAACGGAAATATGCTTCACTATGTTTGTTCAAAAATCATGAATACATAAATTTGTACTTCAATTTTACATTGTACTATTTATGTGCTTTACTAATAAGTGAATTTTTTATTAAGTATGCCTTTACAATTTTCTTAAGTTTTCACCAGTATCATTTAATTAAGTTTCAAGTGTTTTATCAATGATGAAAAACTATTAATTGAAAATAAGCTACTCAGAAAAATTCATTTGAAGCATTATCTATTGAAATTTTAACTATTCAAAACTTTGTATATAAACATTATTTTCACTGGATCAATCAGTTTTAAGTTAAAATTTTCGAAATAAAAGTTAAAAATAATGATATTTTTAATATGTTTAGCTGAGAATTTAAAAATCATTTGAATGTATTAATTTTAAAAACTACTTTTAAAGGAAAAAGACAGCATTTTTTCATATTTATGATCTTCTAAGAGAGTGCAACAATGAAATATCACAACAAATATTGTTTAAAATTAAAATTATTTTTTTTTTTTAGCTAAGATCAATGCCATTTATCATCCACTTTTAAACTAGAATCAAATATAAACCTATAACAGTTTATACAAATTTGTCAAAACAGATCTTCTTGTGTAAAATTCAATAAACTTTTAGTTTTGAAACAGAATTAAAATTAATATATTCTATAAAATGTGACTTTATAACACACAACTTGATCTCTCCTATTTGTAATGATATTCTGTTGTTATGGTGACATGGGCATTCCTCAAAGTTACCATGAGATAATGGTATTAATGCTCTGCTTTTTATTTTGTTTTCAATATTAGCTTTCCTTGAATAATTTTACTTTTAATGACATAGATAAAAATTGTAAACGACTCATGCATAAAATATAACTAAATAATAAACATTCAGGATGAGAACAGGTGAAAATTCTGTAGAGATTTTATTTAAAGACATTGTTTATTATTATATTTTTTAATTATAAAAATTAAAAATCCCTACAGTAAATATGTATAAATATTTGTACATGTTAAGAATCATTTCTTAATTCAAATATATCAGAATTTTTCAGTAGGTAGATGAATCAATATTTTTTTCTTTAAACCAATGACACAGTAGACAATAGCATGAGAATGCTGAGGATTTCTACTGCACTGTAGTCAAAATCTATTATTATATTTATCTACTCTATTGTGGAAAAAACGAGGTGATTATTTCTGTATATGTAAATTATAAAGATATTCACATATATAAAATACAATGTGTTTGTGTATGCACACACATTCTTTATTACTAGAAATCCATTACTTGCTTAAGGGCGTGATGGGTAAATTGTCGCCATTTTATATTTTTAATTTTCTGCATGTGCTTTGTTTGTTTTTGATTTTATCAACTGCACAGTATAGTAGAGCCAGTTGGGCACTGTGTGTGAGAAAAATAGCACCATGGCGCAATTCACTCCACCAGAAATTTGGAAACAGCATGCTGTACAGCTTGGCATTTGCAACAAAAGCTCCAATATGAACATTTCAGAGTGTTTGGGTGTCAATCTGATGACAGTGCAGATGATTCGGAAAGAGTGGGATGATATATCCAGTCAACATCATGGTGTTTGGAGTGATCACTGGCGATGGCGACGTTATGCCTCCGTTCATCTTCCCACAGGGCTTCAGACTCAACATGGAGGCCTACCTCAAATGCCTTAAGGAGGTAGTGCTGCAATGGGTCAAGAGGGACAGGCCTATGTCTGGCAACAGGACTCTGTCCTGTGCTACACAAGCAGGAGAATCCAGTCATGGCTGTCAGACAATTTCTGCAACCACATCACCACATACACCTGGCCACTTAACTCCCCAGACTGCAACTCACTTGATTATTATGTGTGGAGTGCAGTTGAGCAAGACCAACAAAACTCCTTGTAAAATCAAAGATGAACTGAAGGCAAGGATTATGGTAAAATTCACCAACTTAAACAAGGAGACTGACCAGAAGAGTTGCAGGAGATTCTGAAGGCGTTAAAAGGCTGTGGTTGAAGCCAATGGTGATTTTATTGAATAAATTTACTCTTTAGTATTTTAAGATATTTTTGTAAATATGTTTGTTAAAATAAGATGTCAGTGTTATTTTTATTTTTGCATAATATGAATGACAATTTATCCATGGCACTGTGTGTGTTTGTGTGTGTGTGTGTGTGTAAGAGCAAATAAAGGATTTATATTAATAAAGAATGTGCATGTGTAAATTGCTGATAACCCCTGAAGAGTGGATGGGCAGGTCCAGCTATGAAACGCTGGAGTTGGAATGCTGAAGGTAGCATCAATCAGTTAAGAGACAAAAGTGTGTGTGTGTGTGTGTGTGTGCACACACACACACACACACACACACACTAAGAATAAAAGCTAAAGCTCAAAATATAAAATAAATTGAGAGCTCAATGCCAAAATCGACAGAGCCTAAATATAATAATAATAATACCATATCATAGCAATCATCAGACAGAACTCAGACGATTACCATTGCATGAAACTCTGATTAGAGGATTTGGTGTGTATGTGTATATATATATATATATATATATATATATATATATATATATATATATATATATATGAGGTTTACTGAAAAGTCCCAAGCCTGACTCCTTTACCATTAGGACCAAACATCAGAAATTTGTGGGGAAGGGCATTTTGCTCAAGCTGAGACCTTTTCAGCACTGTGTGTGTGTGTGTGTGTGTGTGTGTGTGTAATAAATTTTACAGACCTCACAGGAGACACTGATCTTGGACACAGCACTCTGATACTAGGCAGAAGTGCCATCCATATATAAATAATTCCATCAATTTTGATGTGTACTATGTCAGTATAATAATCTACCTTAATTATACTAAAAGTTAAGCAAATTCTTTTGTTTACATAAGTAGACAAATTAATTTGCTTACCTTGTTAAAAAACAATTGTCTTAATTAAAATTTCATTATATGCAAAATGGGAAAACTAAATATTTTTTATGCATCAATATAAATATTTTTAAAAACTCAATAAAAATGTAAATTACTTTTACATCAATTTTCACAGATAAAACATGAGATTTTGTTATACGAGTCTTTTAGACTAGTGTTCATCCCTATGAGAGAAAAACAAAATTACCATTACTGCTTGCTGTCTCTATTGATAGTTACTTTTAATGTAGCCTTTAACTTGTAAGACATTGACAGCTGAAAAGGGAATTTTCCCATATGACTAGTGATATGGTTAAAAAAAAAACAAAAAAACATTGTTTCAAAATATTTGCATGATCCTTTGTAATAAGTTTTAAGTAAAAATGGATTCATTCTTGATATTCTTAAAATGCTGAATTTTTTCCTAAGAAATAAGCCTACCCACTCCACATGTAATTAAAATGCATTTTCTCCAGACCTATATAATATACAGTAAATAGGCAGATGTAAATTAAATAAAAAATGATCAAAATTATTATAACTTATTCATAATCAGACATGTAACCTTTTTCAAGTTTTGATCTATAGAAGTTAAGCAAATTGCTAGAGTAAAGAAAGAAAAGTGGCATGTAATTCATGTAGCTATCAAAACAATTTGGTAACATTTTCTTTTATAAATAGATGGTAAAAATAACTAAATGACCCCTAAGTTTTTAATAGAGAAAAAAAAGGTCCAATTTGAAAAAAATAAAAACAAATGATCTGGTTTTAATTGACTTATCAAATTTTGTTTTTATGTTTTTCTATTCTATTCTTAAAATTTTTTAAGTTTAACATACATTTAAAACTGTTTAAAATAGCATTTAGGGAGCTGATTTCTTATCCTTACTTCACATACCAATCTGTGAAATTATCCTTACTTGCTAGCACCCATCTTAAAATATAAAACTGTTTTTTTTTGTGTTCAATTGGAGAAATACTGTATTAGTATGCTCACTTAATAGGAATTGTATTTAGTGACTATTATTATAAGTGTGACAAAAGAATAATTAGACAAATGTTATTGTTTATTAGTTTGTTTTAAAGAAAAACAAGAAAATTGTATCCATGTTATAATGTAAATATATCAGGTCAGCTATAATAATGTTGAAAACCTGTTAGCAAGAGACTGAATAATATTTTTGCCATTCTAAACTGTCCAAATGCTAACAATACCATTTAGTAAATGTTTGTTCAATTTGAAACAAGTATGATGTCAAAGTATGGTTCAACTAACTTAGTAACCAAGTTGACCTTCCTCAAGATCAATGCGCCTACAGAGTACTTTAAGACATGCAATGCTTTCTGAGTACAGAAAAGGCAATAATACGATAGAAGCAACTCCAAATATGGTATTTATAGGAGAGATTCTTTAAACAAAAGAAGTTGGTTTGAAAGGTTCTAAACCTTCAAACTTCAGTTTAAGAGATACACCATTAACAGGTCATCCTGCTTTTCTCTCAAGTTGATAGAAATAGTGTTGTTAGAGTGGGGGGAAAAAAGATTAGCTCAAAAATTGAATTCAAGCCATTCGACAGTTCTCTGTCATCTGCAACAACTCAAAATGGTGCATAAACTTAAAAAATAGAATTCCCTTGATGTGGCAGAAACTAATGCTAAATGGATTAGTGACTGGTCAACTTTGAGTTGCCATTAATGTTGAACAGTTAAAACATTTAAAACATGCTTTGAAGGAAAGGAAGCCGAG